TCTATGGAAGCAGACTGCCAGGTCTTTCTTCTGTGTAACTTCTGGTGGGTTCAAACTACCGATCTTTCTGTGGGCAGGGCAGCCCTGGAGCTTTTGGTTTCCCAGAGGCCACCCGCTGACCGCCATGTACCCACCGTGCAGTAGCTGACTCTAGACTTCCACAGCCTCAGCAGCTGTTTGGAAGCTGCCTGACCCTCAGAGAAGTGCTTTCTGGGGCCTCCTTTCTCGATTTCTTTTTAAAACGCTTTGTTGAGCATTAGGTGAAAGTTTACACAACCAATTGGTTCCCCAGGTCATACGCTCAGCATTTCTCAAGCTGGGGGAACTGAAGAAAAAAATTCAAGCCTTGACTTTCGTTATTGAAGGATTCTCTGGGCAAATTATTGAATGATGCAGAAAGCATCAAAAGAAGACGGAAGGAATACACAGAGTCACTGTACCAAAAGGAAATGGTTAATGTTCAAGCGTTTCAAGAGGTAGCATATGATCAAGAGCCAATACTGAAGGAAGAAGTTTAAGGTGCATTGAAGGAACTGGCAAAGAACAAGGCACCAGGAATCGATGGAATAAAAATTGAAATCTTTCAAGAAAGTGAGGCGGCACTGAAGGCATTCACTCATCTCTGCCAAGAAATTTGGAAGACAACTATCTGACCAACTGATTGGAAGAGATCTGTATTTGTGCTCATTCCAAAGAGAAGTGACCCAAAGGAATGCAGAAATCATCGGACAATCTCTTTGATATCTCATGCGAGTTAAGTTTTACTAAAAGTAATACAGAAATGGCTGCAAGCATAATTTGACAGTGAACTTCCAGAGGTTCAAGCCGGATTCAAAACAGGACGTGGAATGAGGGGTATCATTGCTGATGTCTGATGGATCTTGGCTGAAAGCAGAGAATACCAGAAAGATGTTTACCTGTGCTTTATTGACTAGGCAACGGCTTTCGATTGTGTGGATCATGACACGCTATGGACAACATTGCGAAGTAAGAGTATTCTGGAATACTTAACTGTGCTCATGAGGAATCTGTACAGGTACCAAGAGGCAGTTGTTCAAACAGAACATGGGAACACTGAATGGCTTAAAATTAAGAAAGGTGTGCGGCAGGGTTGTATTCTTTCACCACACTTATTCTGAGTATTCACCAAACTTGTATGCTGAGCAAATAATCTGAGAAGCTGGGTTCTATGAAGAAAAACATGGCATCATGATTGGAGGAAGACTCGTTAACAATGTGAGATATGTAGATGATACAACCTCGCTTGCTGAAAGTGAAGAGGACTTAAAACATTAACTGATGAAGATCAAAGAGCACAGCCTTGGGTATGGATTATATCGCAATATAAAGAAAACAAAAATCCTCACCACTGGACCAGTAAAAAACATTCTTATCAATGGAGACAAGATTGAAGTTGTCAAGGACTTCATTCTTCTTGGATCAAACATCAACACTCATGGAAGCAATAGTCAAGAAATCAAATGATGTATTGCATTAGGCAAAAATCAGTTTTTAAAGTGTTGAAGAGCAAAAATGTCAGCTTGAGGACTAGGGTGTGCCTGATCCATGGTATTTTCAATGACCTCATAGGCATGCGAAAGCTGGACAGTGAATAAGGAAGACTGCAGAAGAATTGATGTATTTGAGTTACGGTGTAGGAGGAGAATACTGAAAGTGCAATGGGTTGTTGCCAAAAGAACAAACAGATCTATGTTGGAAGAAGTGAAGCCAGAGTGCTCCTTGGAGGCCAGGATGGCCAAACTTCGTCTCTCATCCTTCGGACATATTGTCAGGAGGGACCAGTCGCTGGAGAAGGATATCATGTTTGGTAAGGTGGAGGGTTAGAGAAAAAGAGGAAGACCCCCAACGAGATGGACTGGCCAAGTGGCAGCATCGATCGACTCAAGCGTGGCAAGAGTAGTGAGGTTGGCCCACTACTGTGTTTCGGCAGTGTTTCGTTCTGCTGTGCATAAGGTCACTATGAGTCGGTACTGACTCGATGGCACCTAACAACAACAACAACAACTTCCTGTCTCACAGCTTAGGCATTGTGTGAAGACAGGTACTGACAGGCTAACGCCTCTGGGGGCACTGTTTTCTCTGCAGAACAGCACGGACGATCTTCTTCTTCAGCTAAACCAGTGGTGGGCATGTTGGCGTGTGACTAGCTGGTATGTTCAGTTTGTGGTTAATCTCGATGCTGCAGCCCCAATTCTCCCACATTCATACTAGCGCTGGCTCCTGGTCTGAAGATTTCCTGTCCCAATGAGGTGGCAAATATTTCTAAAGTGCTTAGAAACATTCCAGGAGGCTTCAAAAAGTTCATGGAAAAATGAAATGAAAACATAATGGAATTTGCCCATGCACTTTACGAAACCCCTGCATATGCCGTGGAGTCAATGCTGACTCACAGTAACCCTGTGTGGGGTTTCTGAGGAGTGGCTGGTGGGTCTGAACAGCTGACCTTATGGTTTGCAGTCCAGTGCTTATCCTACAGCACCACACCAGGACCCCCTCCTATAGTATAAAAAAAATCTAAAGGAAGGTGTTTATCTCTAAGGACAGGATTTTGGGTGTCTTATTTTTCCGTGTTTGTTTTTATTTGGATAGTGTCAGCATGAACACAGCCTATGTAATAAGCCTTTTGTGATAAGAAAATTAGTGTTATTTTAGAAAACTAAGGGACAAAATTAGGTTTGTTTAGCTGTCTCCTCAGGGCTGTAAGTTCAGTTTTCTGTTGGTTGCAGGCTCCTGTTACTCTCCAGGGAGAAGGCTAATGCACGAGGTGGATGTTTTTGGCAAGATTATGATTGCAGGCTTCTTTCTTATCCAGAAATCAATCTTTTGGCCGGAACCTGTTCTTTTCTTGACTGCAGAGTTTGGATCTGTGGGGCGAGCTCCTTGACAGAGTGGTTTCTCAGGGCCTCCATCTATGACATGAATGAGGCCAGTGGTGTCTTGCTCATGAACTTCCAGACAGCATGAGACGCAGACCATGGGGAGGTCCAGCCTCTGTCTTGGTGGGTTCTGCATCCCGAATCTCCAAGGGCTGGGAGTAAGGGCATTGTTAGCTTGGTACTACCAAGCAGTGCCTGGGGCAGAGTTGATATCAGTATTTGCTCAGTTTATTGGACAAAGAAGGAGTCTTTGTACCCTGTCAGCTTAATTTTCATGTGTCTTGGGGGAAAGGGTTGTATTTATTTTCTAGGATTGCCATAACAAAATTACCTCAAATGGGGTGACTTAAAATCACAGAAGTTTATTCCCTTAAAGTTCTGGAGGGTGGAAGTCCAAAATCAGGGTGCATGTCTGCAGCGTTGGTTCCTTATAGCATCTCTTCCCTCCCTCTCTCCTACAGACTCCTCCTTCCAGCCCACAGCTCTAGTTTCACTCTGGAGATGAACACTGTCAACCATTTCTTGCGTGTCCTTCTAGAATTCCTCTGGTGATGGCTGGAGTTCCTTTACATTCCTTGGCTTGTGGATGCATCAGTCCAATTCCTGCCTTTGTCTTCACATGGTATATTCTCTGTGTGTGTTTATCTATGTGTCTCTTCTTCTTATGAGGACCCATTGAGATTGGCCTGCTTGTAGCATAGTGGTTACGACTTGGGCTGCTAACCTCAAGATCAGCAGGTCAAAACTACCAGCGGTCCCGTGGGAGAAAAATGAGGCTTTCTGCTCCTGTAAAGATTTGCAGCCTGGGAAACCCTGTGCAGGGTCGCTATGAGTCGGAACTGACTCCACGGTACTTAACAATAGTAATAGTAAACATACCACGATCGGCCGGAAGAATTTGCTGCATTTTAATCCACTATGTGGCGCTGTGGGTTAATGCGACAGACTGCAAAGTCGTTTGTTCTGCAAGGTTGGTAGTTCAATCTCACCAGCTGCTCCTTGGAAACCCTCTACAGAGTCGCTATGGGTCGGAATCGACTCGACGGCACTTAACAACAACAACAACAACAATCCACTATTTGGAGTCCTGGGGTGGCGCTGTGGGTTAATGCGCCAGACTGCAAAGCCATTTGAATTGCAAGGTTGGTGGTTCAAGCTCACCAGCTGTTACTTGGAAACCCTAGACAGGGTCGCTATGGGTCGGAACCGACTCGACGGCACTTAGTAACAGCAACAGCAACAATCCACTGTTTACACGGTAAATGCGAGTTGCTTTTATTCTTGCCCAGCGTCTTTCCATTTCATCTCCCAATGTAGCCAGAATTTCCTGTGGAAATTGTTTCTTCCTGATGTTCAGCACGGTAATTTGGGTGGAGCTGACCCTGATCCCAGCTCCAGGGTGGGACCTATGACCCAGACCTTACCACAGTGATTGGCTCAGGAATAGACATGTGACCAAACCTCACCCACAGCAATTGGCTTGGGGATGGTTCAACAGATGCTCCTTAGATCCAGGACTGGATGTTAGAACTCCTGGTGTAGCACTATAGGATCAGCACTGGACTGCAAACCACAAGGTTGGTAGTTCAAACCCCGGTGGTCCTCGGAAACCCAAACAGGGCCGCTATAAGTTGGAATCAACTTGATGGCCCTTAGCAACAACAACAACAAAGATATGTTAGAGTCCTGGTGTGGAGCTGTCGGATAAGCACTTGACCATAATGTCAGTTTGAACTGCAAGGTCAGTGGTTTAAACTCATCAGCTGCTCCTCAGAAACCCTATACAGAGTCACTACAGTCAGAACGGACTCGATAGCACTTAACAACAAAAGTAACAACACGGGAATGTTGTTATTGTTTGTATGTCATCGAGTCAGTTCTGACACATAGTGACTCTGTATAGGGTTTCTAAGGAGCAGCTGATGTGCTTGAACCACCAACCTTGTGGTTAGCAGGGCAGTGCTGATCCTACAGCACCACACCAGGACTCCACTAAAGGGACAGAATTTCTCCTTTTGTCAGCTGGATTTGTATCTGGGAAAATGGAGCCTAGAGCCCTTGTGGCCAGCATTCCCTGATGGGGAATCTGAGAATGAAGCCAGCATGGAGAAGGGCAGGGACAACCTTGTGGAAACTGTGCTTGTCTTGCTGACATGGGCTAAGGGTCTGGTTCAAAGGGAGGTTACCAGAGGAAGGTGTGCCAATTCCACAAAAAGGACCCCAGAGAGGAGGGAGCTCAAAGACCTCGTGCCCCAAGCAGAGTCCTCTGGCGATACTTATACTTGGCAATGAGAACAGGATTGCTAACAGCCCAGTATGGGCTCTGTGAAGGGGAATGTGCCAAAATGCAACCAAGTCACCAAGCACGCTCTTTTCCAGCACTTAGCTTTTCTTCTCTTTGTCTTGATTTCACAGTGATTTTACTTTATTAGCTCATGGGCAGTGAAGTAAACGATCTTTTTTTAAATTTAATTTTTTTTTTTAAATTTAAGGTTTTTATTGTGGATTGAGTGAAAGTTTACAGGGCACATTATCAGTTTCACATTCAACCATTCATATAACTTGTTTCATTACATTGATTATAATCCCCTCCATATACCATCAGTTTAAATGATCTTTTATATATTATATTTATATGCTCATCTGTCTGTGCCTGACCCCACCACTCGAAGCCTGGAGCCACAACCTTGTGTGAACCACTCAGCCTTCAAGACCACATCCAGGGACACTCTGAACGTCTGGCAGGCCTGGCGCTGTGCGCTGCCCTTTGCCAAGATCTGCCGGGTGCGGGAACTGTGCGCAAGCGCGCTGGAGCTGCTGGCCCACCGGCCTGCCACCTCCGAGGACGAGCAGTGTGACTGCTTCCTGGCTGTGTGGCCAGCACAGCTTCAGCTGGTCAGAGGCCACCGCTGCCGAGCACCCCAGGCCTTAGTTGGGACTGCCAGTTTCAGGAGGCAAATATGGTTAGGAGGGGCCTGAGGGCTGGCCCACTCGTTCAGTAGGAATGGACAGAGGCCCTCCAGGGGCTCCACTTAGTGACTTTGCTTTAAGACTTCTTTAGAAGCTGATATCCTTGTGTACACTAGTTACGGCCCCCTGGGCACAGGGAATTGGCCCCAGTCATTGGCTGCTCTTCAGCACTTAACTCTCGTCTCTGGGGTGACTCATCCAGTACCTGAGGACATGTCCCAGTACTGTTCCGAGTTGCAGAGGGTTGTGGCATTTGGCTTCTGAGGTCTGTGTCTCTCCTGGCAGCACATATCCAATCGCGTCCTCTGAGCCCTTTGGACTCACTTCATCAAAGTAGTGGTGTTTGGATCCAACTGGATCTTCCATGAGAAATCAGACGAGATGCCTCTTGTCTTGTGGATGGACTCCTGGGAGCCTCCCTCTGCCTCACATCCCAGGAGTCCACATAACACCATGGTCCAGGTGTGGGGAGCCTTTGGAATTCCTGACAGGAGCATACCTATGTAAATAAACACAGTGATTAACCTATCTGATAAAACAAACCGAAAAAGTCAAATATTATCATGAAATGTGTGAAGATCTGGAGTTAGAAAAACAAAAGGGAAGCACATGCTCAGCATTTCTTAAGCTCAGGGAACTGAAGAAAAATGTCAAACCTCGACTTGTGGTACTGGAAGATTCTAGGGGAAAATTACTGAATAATGCACAAAGCATCAAAAGAAGATGGGCGGAATACAGTCACTGTACCAAAAACAAATGGTCGATGTTCAAACATTGCAAGAAGTAGCATATGATCAAGAGCCAATGATCCTGAAGGAAGAAGTCCAAGGTACATTGAAGGAACTGGCAAAGAACAAGACACCAGGAATTGATGGAATACAAATTAAAATCTTTCAACAAACTGACGCAACACTGGAGGCACTCAACCATCTCTGCCAAGAAATTTGGAAGACAACTATCTGGCCAACTGATTGGAAGAGA